GCGTGGACAGAGGGGAGAGCCCCACACGGTGCACGTGGACAGAGGGGAGAGCCCCACAATGTGCGTGGACAGAGGGGAGAGCCCCACGCGGTGCGCGTGGACAGAGATGAGCCTAAGAACCTGACTCAGCAGGCACCTGAACCCGTGCTCTGGGACACTGTCTATGGCACGTCGCCCGCCCACGGGGCGCTTCCTGTCTTCAGGGGTCTCTGCTCTCGAAATGGCTTAGAACCCTGAGCTGACCCTGTGCCGATTTCCAGACCTTGTACTTCCCACGGGTCTGAGCGGAGCTGACACAGCGAACGGGCCCTCTGCATTGTCACACAGGCAAACGGTGACAATGCCGAGGGCAGGGAGGCCGGGGGAGGGCCTGGTCATACGTTACCTTTGGCCCTTGTCTTCCTGGGTAGCCCGGCAGCCCCGGGACTCCGAGCTTTCCCTGCGGAGAGAAGAGGCGCTGTGTTACGGGGCCGCATGGTGTGTCTCCATCTGAAGGACACGGTCCTCACAGGAGCCCCTGCCTGGCCTGGGATCGACCACACCCCCTCCCCGCCCTGATTTGAAAGCAAAGGCCCCGGCCCGGCCGCGTGGCTCAGGGGTTGAGCGTCAACCTATGAACCAGGAAGTCACACTTCGATTCCTGGTCAGGGCACAGGCCCGGGTTGCGGGCTCCATCCCTAGTGGGGGGCGTGCAGGAGGCAGCCGATCCATGATTCTCCATCATCATGGATGTTTCTCTCTCTCCCTCTCCTTTCCCCTCTAAAATCAATAAAATATATTTAAACATAAAATATAATAAAAAATAAAAGCGAAGGCCCTGCGAGAGGGGATCGAGCCCTCATGAAGCAGAAGAGGCCAGAGGCAGAGGCCGGAATCAAAGAACCGTCATCCACGTGATCCCACTTCGCCCTTTTGTAACCCAGTTCCAGCCTGGGGCAGATGGAGGGAGTGTGGGCTGCTCATGGGCCATTCCCATGGGGGCATTCCCGTGGGGGCACTTATGGGGGGGCATTCCTGGGGGGCAGCCCTGG